TTTTAACTCTGCCATCTTGTGGCTTCGAGTTTCAGGACATCTATATATTGGTGACTGAAGTTGCTGTGGTACCAGTGTTGAGGGGGCTACTGACCTTTAGTCTCATCTCCTTGATATTTCTTATCCTTTTTGTTGCTGTCTTCTCTAGACTGTCTTAGGCAAGAAGGGTACCTGAAGAATCATGGTCTATATGCCTAATACATTTCTCTACAACTGGACTATCTTGTTCTCCTGCAGCCTGGTTGTCAGCAGCCTCCCTCACCTCTCCATGCACAGGAAGGTTGGAATATTGTAGTTCATGCCTCATGGAGTCTCCATAGGAGTAAGGTGACAACCTTCATCTTCAGTAGGACCAGCTTTGTTGGGCCTGGCCTTCCCAAGCACTCTGGGATCCCTCTTTTCTTTCCTCCCATGCTCACTATTCTGGTAATTCTGCTGGTAATTGCATGGAGGATTCCTATAATGTAAATAGCATCTACAATGGCTGAAGACTGCTATCTATTTATACCCTTGAACTGAAACTTTACCAGGGCCTATAACATCTTCCACCTCCACATCATTTTTTTCCTTCAACAGCATCAAATTACACAGTCTCTCCATCTCCTGCACTGTAAAGGTACTTCCTGAAGTTACTCTTTTATGGCAGTATAGTATACAAATATATCATTCCTGTTGGTTAAAACAAATCTATTCCTCAAAATAAACTTTTTAAGGTTCCTCAAACCTTCCCTGAGTAACTGTGTCCTGTACAACTGTCTGTGGTGCCAGGCACTGTGTCCATAGCACCGAGGGAGGGGCAGAGGGGCAGCAGGCAACTACTTGGCCTCACTGCTCTGACTGCTGAGAGTTTAGTGAAATCCACTGTCTGTTCTCCACTCCCAAGAGAACTCCACTTGTAACTTTTGTTTCCTCTAAAACGTAACTACTGATAATCTGCTATTGATTACATACACAGTGGGTTAACACATACTTTGCATTATGTGTGTGTGTGTGTATAAATAAAATATATAGTGGAAAATATGCAAGAACTTCAAGAGATCCTTCTTACTGTCATATGAAATTTATTGAAGAGGTGAACTGCTTACAAGAAGATAATTAGTATTTTAAGTGGATACAACATTTGAGCTCACCAAATCAGAAACAGTAGAGGGCTATCAAATTATTATAGTAGCAATGTACGCATTACTACGGTTAATTTTATACATATACAATTAATACTACAATTTTTAATGGCTTACATTTCTCTCATCTGCAAGTGATGCCATGTGTGGTATGTGTTTGCATAAGTTCTGATAAATTTTAACTTGTTATCAAGTTGGGTATATGCATAGTGGTAAATTATAACAAAGACTATTATCTATATACATTTGATACATTCATGACATGTCTTCTTCTTAGGTTTCTTGATTTCTTTTCTGGGCTACACTGTTCATCTACAAGTTGTCTCAAATTATTGCAAATCTTGAAAAAATCTGCATGTAAGAGGACCTGGGTAGTTCAAACCCAACATGTTGTTCAAGGGTCGACAAATCACATGTTAAGGAACAAACATGCTTTCAGCATAAAAGTAGCTTTTTGTATGCTTCTTTTAATTTGTATGCAAAAATATGTTCCCATGGCTCTTATAAATTTCTGGAGCAACAGCAAACAACATGATTACTTAAACATTCTTAAACAGTCAAATAAAAGCTTAAAAACAAATTAAAATTCCTGTGCTATCACAGGAACTGGTTACCTTTTAATTACCCTTGAAAGAGGGTAATATAAGTGCACAGAAAAATTATTTAAAGCATAAAATTAATTGAAGCATAAAAATAAAAAACTTATACTGTGGAACAAAGAGATATCATAACGATTGCTAATTTTCTTTTTTGAAGATATTTTTAGCTGTAGGTGGACACAATGCCTTGATTTTATTTATTTTTTATGTGGTGCTGAGGATGAAACTCAGTGACCCACACATGCTAGGAAAGTGCTCCACCACTGAGTCATAACCCCAGCCCCTATTCATTTTCATTCATAGTTAAGAAAACCAAAATACTGAGGGGATGAACCTTTCAAAACTCTACAACTCAAGCCACTGGCAAATTGTAAAGTATTCACTTATGTGTTCAACTATCCATTAAATTCTGGTTGAAAATGCAATGAACCAGACCAACTAGGCTTCAGAATAGCTTATAATATACTTTAAAAAGATATACAAGGATCTTCCCCTAATTGTCTCTTTCCTATTTGTTATCCCTTGTCTCTTTTCACACCCCCTTTGCATCCTACAGATGTCTGAACACATGGTGTTCTTTCTCTAGTTTGAAATTTGCTCCCTACTTTCCTGGTCCACTTGGAAAGGTTATATCTAGTCATATTTTAAGAGTTAGCTTAACCTTAAATTCCTCTACAAATACTCCTCTACAAATATAAAACCCTCTACAGAGTCTATGACTTGTTCTTTTATGCCCCCATTTGTATATAGTAGAATACCTATGATATTTTTAAGTGCTTTTTGTTGTGAAGCTTTCATTAATTTAATAAAATTTATTAGTCCCTTAAAAATTTCCATACATTTTTTTCTATTTGAACAGACCAACACATTCTTTGGGGAGCTTACAAATTAGTAAGAACAAACAGTAAACAATTAAATTTAATTACATATAAAAATATAAGGGACTGGGGTTATGGATCAGTGGTAGAGTGTTTGCCTAGCAAGTGTGAGGCACTGGGTTCGATCCTCAACACTACATAAAATAAATGAATAAAATAAATGTCTATCAACAACTAAAAAAATTTTAAAAAACAAGAATAATAAGGAGGAAGATACTTTTAAGAATTCAAGAGACACAGAAAATGGCCAGGTGTGATGGCATATACCTGTAATCCCAGCAACTCTGCCTGAAGCAGGAGGATCTCAAGTTTGAGGCCAGCTTGGGCATAAAAAGTTATGTGATATGTCTTTTTCTTTTTAATAATTAATTCAATGAAAGCAAGGTTGCTGTCTTATTCATTTTTTATGTCCATTAACTGGAACTGTACCTAGTAATATAGTATTCAATAAACATATGACAAATGGGTGGATACCCCCAGTCAATCTGACCTTGCAATGAAACCAATTATGAGAAAATCCTGAGAACCAGAATATATTCTCCCTTCAATAATGAGATTCAGTTATTTTAAGGGTGTGGTGATGAACTAAGAAATACAAACTTTATTCTAGATATTCAGAAGTAAATAGAATAGTTTTATGGTTTACTCAGAAAATACAATATCCATTAGTCTAATGTTTACAAGTTTCAGTTTACTACAATTAAATAGGCTATCTGCTATATATTGAATTATAATAAGCAAATACAGTAAGATTTTTTAAATCACAATTTTTAAAATAATTATTATTTCCACAGTAATAAATAAAATTCATTTAATAATGTAGAACAGATCTGATATAAGTTAAACCAAGTCTGAAACATTCAAGGTATATAAGACTGATCATAGAATTAAGAAAATCAGAAGTAAGGTATCTTACTTCCAAACTAAGGTTAATCAGCACAATATTTATCACTACCATGGGACTGTTCCCTCAAAATTTAGTTAGCTAATTCCCTAAATTAATTAAAAATTATTTTCCCCTGTATTCCTGATACTTCAAATTATTTAAAACCTTAATTCCAATAATAACCACCAAAAATAATTATATCTATATTGTAATGAGTATTTACCATATGCTACTTTCCAGCTCATATATGGTATCATATTTAATGCTTACACAAATCCTTTTTCTTGATATTAGTATTCACTTGAGATAAGTCAACTAGAAAATGAGCTTCTGAGAGATTGGATTACCTATTCTCACAAGCAATAAATGGGAAAAGAAGAAATATCTGGTTTCAAAGCCTCTGCCCTTCCTATAATAGTATGTCATCTCTCTTTTTTTAATGTCATCTCTCTTAATCTTCATCAAATATATTACTCAATCTATCCAGTATTAAAATTGGGTTGACCGTAATTTTAAATTTATGAAATGATAGCAGATTAAGGGCAAAACTAAAACCCTGAAGATAAACTTTTCACCACTTCAAATATAACCAAATTGCAGCACAAAAAGAGATTAAAATCATGCTTTCCTTCACATGACAGGAGAAAACTTATAAAAATACTTTATTGAACAAGTGATCTAAAATATCAATCCAATTATTTCTAGATCAATCTGTTTTTCAAGTTACGGTTTCAAACATAGAAATAAGTAAAAAAGTTTTTCTAAATCAATATGTCATTTAATATGAGGATAAAATTCCTAATATTTTTAAGTTTGTTATTTTTATTCACAGAACTCTTAGAAATATAAAATGCTATACAGTTATTACTAGAGTGCTATATAATTTATCATTCAAATCTATATTTTTTTCAGAATAAATGTACTAATTACAACAGGACAACAGATTTAAACAGGACTATCCCAATAACTGGCACACACAGAGGCTCAACTATTGCCTTGCGACTCTTCCACTATTCATTATTCTGTCAGTCCTTTCGTAACTATACACTGGACAATTATATACATGCCTGCTAGGTAAAATCACTGGCTACATAATTGAGTCCTATAGCATAATGTTAAAAGAGTACTTTCTTTGCTAACTATCTATGTTTTAAAAAGCTATTTTGAGCCAGACACAATGGCTGACACCTGTAATCCCAGTGGTTCAGGAGGCTGAGGCAGGTGGATTGAAAGTACAAACTCAGCCTCAGCAACTCAGTAAGACTCTGTCTCAAAATAAAAAATAAAAAAAGATGGGAGTGTAGCTAAGTTGTTAAAGGTCTCCTGGGTTGGAGCTATATAGTTAAGTGGTACAATTTGGGCTTAGAATGCCATAGGCCCTGAGTTCGATTTCTAGCACATGCACACACACACATACACACACACACACACACACACACACACAGACAAAATTTCAAAAGCCTGTTTCATTAAGATGGTTCACATTTACATAAAACTTCAATAACTTCAACCATACCTCATCCTGAAGTTCGTCACCACTTTTAACGGAAGCAAGCATGTCATATAAAGTACAGCAAAGATCTTCTATTCTTGGTGCTTCAGTCATTTCCTTCAAAGTTGCATTTAAGTACTTTTCAACTTCACACCACAAAAAGGAGCCATTTGTTTTTTCCACAGGCTTGAGCTCTGCGGTGGAATGCTCCTGAAAATGTTCATTCAGAAACTTTCTGTAATCTAGGCTTATAGTTTTCTGGGCTTCACCATTTATTGGCAGTTCGTCAAAGTGGTCCAGATCATGCATGTCAAATGAAAATGCTAAATTTTTACCAAAAAATGCTGTATCACTAGATTCCTTTTCTGTCTTCTGGACAAGAGCAGTAAGATCATCTTGATTAAAATGAGAAATGATTCGATTAGTGGCATTACAAGCTGTAGTAGCAGATGATGATGGAAAGGGACCAAACATCTGTTTGATAGCCTTTGTCTCCATGTGACCAACAGAATCCGTCAAGTGAAATGTCATAAACAGAAATGCAGCCCCACTTTCAATTGCTTCTCTCCCATTATCTGTTCCAACTATTCAAAAACAAAGAAACATTATTAGCTCAATTGAATCATGATTCAACTTACAATTTTCAAAATAAAATAACTACAAACATTTTGAGCTAAATCCCAACAGTCAAAACATACTAAGGAAAACAGTCAATTCAGGAGCAGAAAAATCTATGCCCAAATTCCTGAAGAATTATCCTAGGTAAATAAACCATTATCAGTAATTAATCTACATATAAGTTCAGAAACTACCTAACAACAATCCTTTCTTAGAAGAATTTATAACACTAGCTTAAATTTATTTAAAACCAAACTTTAAAGACTGATTTGATGAGCTACTTAAATAAACCATAATAAGTGCAAAAGAAAATCTGAATTATAGACTTATGGAACTGGAACAAAATCCCAATGATATATAACTGCCTTTCCAATTTGTACCATAAACATACATGGCAAAAGACAGATTAGACAGATAGACAGATAGACAGACAGATAGATAGAAGTGAGCTAGCTCTCATTCAAAAGCATGTAATATAACCAAGTCTGAATATAATTAAAGAGCCATATGATAAAGCATAAAAGAAAGCTGCTATTTAAAAGAGACCAGAAGGAAATTCCTCATTACATAGAAGGTAAAGGAACAGCTCCTAATTTCTTTAAGACTTACCTTCTCATATCCAATTTTCAGAAAGAAAAGAACCTGTTATTTGTGACAGATAATTTCAAAGAATATTGTTACAACAGAAAAAACAAAAAGAACTGAAACTTTCAAGAGGTCCTAAAGTCAATGTGACCTACCTAAAGTAATAGTGGCAAAGTTAGTAATATAATTAACACTGGTACTTTCCTGAAAGCATGGCTCTGATATTATCACTCACAAATCTTAAACAGCTTACACAGCTGGATCCAGATTCCTACATACTTGGAAACTGAACCCATCACTTTTTTTTTTTTCAGTCTTATTGGCTGTTATATATTTTCTGTTCTAATCAAAAAGGATTTTTTAACATTCAAAATCATCCCACCAGGTATGGTAACACCTATAGTCCCAGCTTCTCAGGAGGCTGAGGCACAAGGCACTTGAGCCAAGGAATTCAAAGCAAGCCTGGACAATATAGGGAAATACTGTTTAAAAAATAAATTAATTAAAATTTTTAAAGTTGGGGGAAAAAAAAGAGATCTTATGCTATGCTTAAGTCCTTTCATATACTTATTTGTCTTCTCCCACAGCCTCTGATTGTTCCAAATCCTGCCCACATTTACAATTCCAAATTTCAGTTGCCTGTTTCAAGGACGGTACAATGTTGTAGATTTTTTTTTAATCTCTTCACTGTAACTAGTTACATATGACAATTGGTTGATTTACACTAAACACAGGCCTCACTGACTACATTTTTACACTACAGCACAATGCCTCAGTAACATTTTTACTATATTGATACAGAAGAGTAACAGTTTATATGTGTGAAAATAAACCATTTTATAATATTATTCCTACTTTCTTTAAATATGAAGTCTTGACTTTTATTATAAGTTAATTTATAGAACACAGGCATACAATTTTTCCTCTTGTATTTAAGAAAACACATGAAAAGAAGCTGGTGTGGTTGCTCAGCAGCAGAGCACTTACCTAGCATGTGTGAGGCACTGGGTTCGATTCTCAGCACCACATATAAATAAAGGTCCATCAACAACTAATAAAATATTGAAAAAACTCTATAAACGATATAGTGCTTTTAAATTAATTGAATGGGACTTTGTACATTTGACTTATTCATTATGTACCTTTCACTTCTTGGAGATTTAGATTTAGGATATTTAGGGATTGTGATAATTCTACAGATAATTAAACAAGTTTGGTACTACTGATATTAAACTCTGAGCAAAAATGGAATTCACATTTACAAACTCATTCTATATCTAAATTATAAATATACAGGCTTTTGTAAAGATGCCATTATCATTTTTCAAGTTGTATGTTTATAAAACAATATACTATAAACTTTCACAATATTATCTCCACTTTATAGATGCTAAAATGCAAACAGTTTGAAATTTTGGGTCAGATCAAACAACTAAATCATTAAACAAGATTCACAGCAATCTTAATTTCTAGACAAAAGTTCTTTTCACTACATCACACTGATTCCCTGTAAATTCCTAGAAACTAGATTTATGTCTAATTCTTATTTACTAAATAAATTTAAATAAATGAATCTTGGGAAATTATGCAATAAAGTCCTACTATATCATTAAAATGGGATTAACTTAAATATTCACTAATAAATTAATGGTTAATTATGGTATAACCATAAATGGCATTCCTTAAACATGGAGGATTTACATATCTTGCCATAAAGAAAACACATTAAAAAGTAATGAGTCCATTTTATTTATTTTATTTTTATTTATTTAGCCGTAGCAGGGATTGATCCCAGGGGTACTCTACCATTGAATACCCCTTTTTATTTTTAAATTTTAAGACAGAATATCACTGAGGACCTCTTTCTATTTTTAAATTTTAAGACAAGATATCACTAAGCTGTCAGGGCAATCCTCAAACTTGGGATCTGTCTCAGTCTCCTGCATAAATGGAATTACAGGTATGTACCACCAGGCCTGACACAAGTCCGTCTTTTAATAAAAGGAAAATAAACGTAGACTCAGAATATTTTTTTTAAAAAGATTATAGCATTTTAGGAATATAAAGATTTTTAATGTGCATTTTAATGTAATATTTTATTAACAAATATTTGTCTTGACTACTTCACAGTTATAAGATTTGAAAATACTTTAAAATTTATAAACTTAGTTGAGTAGTGGTGCTTCATAAATGTTCACAGCCTTACATAATGACTAGCTCTTCTTCTGTGCAACTCCATCAGATGTCCAAGTTAGACTTAAAACCCACACATGTTCACTTCACATAGCAGTTTCTCAAAAACGAATCTCTATGCACCTGCACTATGCTACTCTGAGAACTCAGATGAAATCTAAGAACCTCACTAGCATTTGTTGCCACAAATAGCAACCCAACAAAGACGCTGACTACTGCATTCTGAAAACAATGGGTTTCCCAGGTCTAAGGCACAGGAGGACTTGTGGTTGTGCAGTGGGCCAGCAACCACTCAAGGGTGTCTCCCAGATCCACCAAGGGGACCTGAGCTCTAGTGCTTGGTCCGCATTTAATGACGTAGTTGACCACGAGTATCTGCTGTCAGCCTACTGACCGGATGAATGGGCTGATCATTGGAGGACAATTCTAGGCATTGTAGAAGAGAAGGTGGTACCCCAACTGGCTGGTATAACCAACCCATTAAGCCAGCGGTCGTTTGGCAACTGAAATATATGACTAGTGTTTGTAAAACACAGATAAAGTATCTGAGGAGTGAATTATCTAATGTACCAAAGTTCTGCAGGCCCCACCCTCATTCTAAAAAGGTAAATTGTCAGAGGAAACCTAGGTGCTTTACTCTTAACCAAGTGAATTTACTCCAAAGAGCAAAACAGAAAACTTGGGTTTTCTTCAGGAAGGGGCAGCCTCAGAAATAGCATGTGATATGCTTCCAGAATACAAATCTGTAATTAGTCATGCCCTTGTTTTCTAAAGTGCATCCAAAACCGGACATGTTACATTAATTGTGAGAATCTTGTTCCCAATTAACTTATTTACTTTTCTTTATACTTACACAAATTTTGTACTGAATTATCTTTTTAAATGGCCGGGCTCAAGTTAACATCTGCATTAAATTTCTCAAGCTTTTTCTATCTGCTTATACTCTTGTACTCTAAAAGGACTGGGATTTTAAGTTGTCTAGTTTTGGCCACAAGATATTTTAATCAAAACATATTAAGTAACCAATTGGCAAAAGTGTCAAGAAATTTCAGAACTTAAAGCTTTTAATGAAGTTAGTCTAGAAACCTAACCACTTAGATATCTAATTTTCTATCCATAAATCAATGAAAAAACCTAAAAAAAAAAAAAAAAAAAACTGGCTACAATACTTCAACTGCAACACATTTAAAGAGAGGGACTCAGAAAGACACTGGAATATTTTTTTTTATTAGCAAATATTTGCCTTGACTACTTCACAGTTATATTGTGAGCAATGAGATGTGAAATGCAGAGTAAACTATAAAATATTTCTCAGAATACTAAGAAAAAATCAAAATAAGTGAAATAGTCTTGCCATAAATAACTAAGTGAAGAGCAGGATTTGAATTCAATTTATCTGGCTGATTGGAGCATTCACATTACAAGTCATCTTTAACCTTTAAAAAAGCCCTAAACCTTATGTAGAACTTTAGCATACAAAATGAAATAGTTGGTATTTTATTTATTACTTCAAGTTATACAATGGATTTTTTTAAATTAAAGAGTTGAGGAATGGCTACAATCTTGAATCATTCTCAACACAATTTATGTCTCCATTTTCCTTTGATTGCAAAATATTAAGAATTAAATAATTGTAAATTGTCTTTTCAATAGTCTGCCCTAATAGTTAAGAAATCCATGAAAAGAATGAGTAAAAATTTTAACTGAAAATTACATAAAAATATTAACTACTTACATCATTAATTGATAAGCATTCAATTTAGAAGCTGTCAACAAACTCCCTGTCCAGTTAAATCTTCACCATTTAGTAGAAAATGTTTTACAAATATCTTTTCTACTTATATTTTAATACTGAAATGTTCAAAACACTCAATTTTTTTTCATTTTTATGTCCAAACTTTAAATATCAGTTTTACCCCAACACTTGATCTGCAATTGTGAAAAACAATGTATTACAATCCTACATTATTTACGAAAGCTCATTCAATTTATTAAAAATCAGCAAGACAGGCAAAACTGGTATAAAAATGTTATATATGAATAGAAAATAGCTACCTGACATTTTAATTTGATTACAATGTTTCTTTTAAAAATATATATAATATTTGAACCTGTGTCTTAATGTCCTAAGTCATTACATGTAACAAAGTACATTACACATAACAAAATACAAAAACAATTATTCAAA